ATAGATTTTACTTTTCAACAGATTCACAGAATATAAAATTATAATAAAACAAATGCCTATAAAACATAACTAGTTTGGCATTAATCCCAACAAAATTGACATTAAAGTCATTGTAAAATAATAATGCAGCTTCATTCTGTTTAGTATGATCAATTTAATAATTATTAACAGAATTCAAAGCATTGGAAAAAATGTGGCAGGATATTTGTCATTTGAAAGCCACTCAATAAAAAAGTTCAAAGAAAATAGTTTAGAACAAGAATGGACATATAGATGTAGATGTAGAAAGAATTTAGACAGGTAAATCATGAACAGCAGGGACAAATAATTAGTAGTGGCCCTATAATAATGGCTACTTAGGATCATTTTTAGTGTGGATAACATTTAATTGTTTAATGGAGTTCAAAATACATTTATGAATAAATAGTAATCATAATTATGAAGTTAGAAATAATACTGTTTTAAAAAGAATCCATTTGTCCTACCATGAAAAAATAAATTGTAAATATGATACTAATGTCCCTAAGAGATTAAATGAATTCCAGCATTAAAAATAGTACAATAATGTTTTGGGTATTTTGCATTTCTGTTGTTGCTTGATTCCAATTCACTATTTAAAATGACTGAACCTATGTTTTGGATACTATGGCAAGAATGTGTAATTCCTTTTACTGTTCAGAATTTAGGAACATTTTCCCAAACTTCAGTAATGGTAATTTAAATCTGATAGATCTCAGATAATTTTCTTCACATCCTGTCTTTTTGGGTAGTTTTTAAGGCCAAACAATCCCTTGATGTTCCAAAAGTGTTTTAGCATTTGACACTGTGTATATTTAAATGTGTCACTCACACATTGTGGGGGGAAATAAGGAAAGATAGGAATGTTGTTCCAAGATTATACACTCTTTGAAGATTTTGCCATCTCTGTTCCTCATGTTAGTCTAATAATTGCACTTTGAAGGCATGTAACAGAGTTGAGTGTGTGCTACTTATAGTAACAACCAGCATTGATTTGCTGTCAGAGAACATAATGAATGCCAAGGTTATTGTTACATTGTTGCTAAAGTACATCTTCCTTTGAATTACTTTCTTTCCAGTTTGTTCCTTTTATTGTATGTTAGTCTATTTCCTATTCTGGACCTGAGTTTATTTTAAATTTGCAGAGTTCATAGATATAGATGTAGCAGTACAAAATGTTCTCTTGGCTATACCAAAATACTGTTATTATCCTGATATTTACAATAGTGATATCAGAATTACTTCAAATTCTACTGACATCCTCCTCCTCCTGCTCTTCCACCTCCTCATCCCCAATACTTTGACATGGCTGTGGAGCTTTTGTACCCTGAGAAAGATGAGAGTTATGCCAGAGGTTCAGTCATACTAGACAGATCTTATCAGAGGAACCAGATGAAGTGCTTCTTCCATAGATTGCCACTCAGGAGGGTATGTTCTGGATCATATCAGTTAAAGACTTCTCACTGATGGGATCCAGGAAGAAAGTCTTCTTCGTTGTTGCTTCCACCCATTGGGACATCTTACTTCCAGCGTGAGGCAAGGCCCCACTCTTCTGGCCTTCTGAAAGAGTTGTGAATTCTTGCTCTGTCAATTGGCAGAGGAGGCCTGAGTGGGGTGCAACTCTGGGGGTGCTCTGCAATGGTTATAAGTGGTCAGTATGTTTGGTAACTACTGCATGTAAAGCAGTGTCTGTAAATACTTCCCTTACAAAGACTTGATGCAGTTTGCATGGATGTTTCAAGGTGAGAATACTGCAGAATTGAAAACAGGGGACCATCCCTCATTCTATTACAGGTAGTCCTTGACTTAACTACCACAGCTGGGACTGGAACTTCTGTCACTAAGCAATGTAGTCATTGAGATGGGTATGCCTGATTTTATCACCTTTTTTGACCACAATTATTAAACAAACCACACGGTCATTAAATGAATCCAGGCTTCCCCCATTCACTTTGCTTATCAGAAGCCCTCTGGGAAGGTTATAAATAGTGATCGCATGACCCCAGGATGCTGCAGCCATCATAAATGCATTCTGGTCCTCAAATGCCCAAATTTTGATCACCATATGTGATCATGAGGAGGCTGCAACAGTTGTAGGTGTGAGGACTGGTCATATGTCACTTTTTCCACCACTTTTGTAACATTGAACAATTGTTAATGCATGGTCATAATTTGAGGACTACCTGTACATGTTTTACAGTGAACTCTTTTTCTGTTGTTCCTTAAATTTGACTAATTCTTAGTCAGTTTCAATAGTCAATAATTATATTCTTAGATACAATATCTTCTTAACTGCTGACATGAGATTCATCGTTTCATTATAGTTCTTCTTGTTTATGACTATATGTTGTTAAACATGAACTGGGATGAGAATTGTGGCCAGTGATGAGCTACTCGTGGTACTTTCTCTTAGAGCAGTGATGGCTAACCTTTTTTGGCTCCCTGCGCGCTCACATGCCAGCAACCAGAAGGCAATGTGTGTTGTCCCCCCCCCACGCCCCCTGCGCATGCGGGCATGCCCCCCACATGGCATGAATCTCTGTGCATGCATGCATAATCCTCTGTGCACCCCACGCATCTCTGTGCATGTACGCATGTTTCCCGTGCCCCCCACGCATGCATGCCAGATAATTAGCTGGTGGGCGGGCGGCACGTGCACATGCAAGGCTCTTCCGGGGGTGGGGCTCTTCCAGGTGACATCTCACGTGCCGGCAGAAGTGGCTCTGCATGCCACTTCCGGCACACATGCCATAGGTTTGCCATCATGGTCTTAGAGTGTGAGAGCCAGTTAAACTAGTGATAGCACTATATTCCTTCATTCTATTAGATACCTTGACTTGACTGGAAACCAATATATATCTGAAATATATTTGAAAGCTTAATCTTTTAACTATGTATGTCAGCCTCTTTTTACTTTTCTGAGATAGCCTTAAGATTCTAGTGTTTTGGGAGCTGAACTTAAGTATGTCATTAACAAATTGAACTTTCCCCATGCTATCTTCTTTTTGAAATTCAGTGGGACCCAGCTGTTTGGACATTCCTTCTCATTTCTCTTCCCAGAGAAGACAAAGAAATTGTTACCATATGTCCCATGCAAAGAATCTTCAAATGATTTTAGAAACATTGTTACAGAAAGTAATACCAGGCACCTATTTTAGATGTCAGATTTAAAGCTAATGAAAAGCCACTAAGCCCATGCATGGAATAAGTACATAAATCAGCCCAATAAAACAGCTTTGTAAATATTTATGTTCTCTGTACACTCCATTTCATGCTTGTTTCCTTTACCTTCACCTCTTGAATTTCCTGTTTTTAGATTATGCCTATGAATGGCTTTAGTTATCAACCTGACATTGCTTAATTAGTTACTACTTCCTCTGGTATCATTTACCTTAATCCTAAATCTTTACAGACTCTTAAGTACCTTAGGAGTTGGATGCATTTTTAAAGAAGTCTCAGTGGAACTGATGTGGAAGGACCCTGCAGGATCAATTTCCTGCTGGAGAGAATGGCTGGGCAGCCTGGCAAAAGGCCAGTCAGCACTCTTGGTGAAAGAGCTCAGGAAGCCATCTTCTTGACTTTCCAGACATCAGTTGCTGTTACTTCAAGTGGCTTTATGCTCAATGGCCCAGGTTGTCAGCCATTCTTGTTTCTCTGAGGCAGGGGAATAGCAACATTTATGAGGACAAGATATTTGAATGGGGGTTGGCAGAATCTAAACAAAGAGAAGGCCATTTTGGGAAAGATAACATTAGGCTTGATTTTAAATTATTTGTATGCATGTTTCTCACCTCTGAAAAAGTTGGCAAGCCATGCTTTGCCTTGCCTGCTTATTCAGAATAATTTAATCTGCCTAAAACATCTGTTTCTCCCAGAAAATAATGGTTAAAAAGGCACATTGGACATGACTACTATGTGTAGGAATTTATTTGTAGGAATAGTTATCATGTTTCCAACAGTATTCAGGAATCCTAATAGCACCACTGGTTTTATTGTATTCCTATTGTAGAAGGCTGAAAATGTACTACTTTCTGGAATCCAGTTATTGGATTCATATTTGAGGAAAGAAAAGAGACTTTATAGCCCACATCCATCTCTTCTGCTACAACAGGTTTCTTGGGCCTCATGGTTTCCAACTTGGAGTGGGCAAGCTGTGATTAATTATTTCCTGTACGTGTTTCTCTGTGTGCATGGTCTGTTTTGAAGGGACAAAATCAATGCCTTCACCTTAAGAATGAAGAGTTTTTTCCTTTAATTTCCACCACACCACCCCCAAATTGGCTAAACATTTCAGTTCTACCCAGTCCATGGATATCATCCATTGCAGCTAAATTCTCTACACTTTTCAGCCAGGGAATTAATTGATTTTAAGAAAAGTGCATCTTTCACCACAAACATTATTCCCATCTTTGACCGAAAGCATCTTTCCTGCCTGGTACATATCACCCTGTCAAGGCCATTGCCCTAATTCCCAGAAATTGTGTCTGGAAGATGCCAGGATAGGAAAGGCTGGCTTCCATAGGGCAAATGAATTTCCCCTAATCACATTTGCATATTTTATGAGTCACATGTTAGGAAGTATAAGTCCCAAATAAACTCACAAGATTAAAGCTCAGGCAGCTTTTGGGAATATGAAGGTTCAGGTCCTACACAGAAAAAAATACTAGTGAAAATGGCATTGCCCCCATGATAGTAAGACTGAATGCTTCTTTATTGGCTATTACATTGTCTCAGGAAGGTGGGGAATCCTACCCTTGTCACTTTCTAACAGGATAACATAAGAACTGTTCCAAGACTAAAAATAATAATTAGTTAACAACCCCTCAGTATTTCACCCTCCTCGACACTGGCTAATTTTCCCCAATACTCATTAAAATCCACAGTGGCTTTGTAGTCCTACTCAAATGGCTCTCCACTGAGGCAGGAACGGTGAAGGTGAGAACTGACAAATGGGTGTAATTTTCTTCCTGTCCTTCTTTCAGGTTTTATTATCCCGGCTTCCATCCTTTGAGGGCTATCCAGATGATGAGAGTGGCCAAGTTGCAGTGCCACCAGGACATGTCCTCTCAGGCCCTTGAAACTCTGAAACAGGTCAGTTTTGCTCACTAGTTCTACATTCTCTTTCCTCCTAATTGTTTCTCCTTGACTGCATTTCTACAACCTCCCTGCTCACCTCACTTTCCACATGTCAGTCAGCAAGCACTCTCCCACTTTTTTATATCTACACCAGCCCCTGAGGCAATGGCTACAAAGTGAGTTGCTTACAGTTTCCAGGAGAGACTTACTTTAATAGCAGTGGTTGGTAATTACTGTTCAGTATCTGAGGGGGTGACATTAATCAGCCGAAACCTTGAATGGCAAATAGCTATTAAGTTGGATGAACAAGAGACTGTTTCAGTACCATAATCTGCTTCTCCTTTTTAAATATTGATCATGTTCTGCATCTCACTGAATGGCGAAGGTAAGGTAAATAGTAGTGAAAATGCTTCCTTTGATCATGAAGTAGTAAGAATTCTGAAATTCACCTGAAATATTTGGGATGGAATGCTGATGAAAATAATAAAGAGGACAATCAAAATCCGGGTGCATTAAGTCGTGAGCACCTTTAATTCAGAGCTGACCGCTGCAAGGAATGTGTATTATTAAAAGGAAGTTTCTTTATATGAATTATTTGTAAGCCAGTTCAGAATAGCAATACATTTTATATACATAATCTGCTCATCATTATTGAAAGGACATACATTAGTAACTAACTTGTTTCTGAAAGCAGTACATGTTTTCCAGTGATGATTATTTATTTTGTTAGCAGTTTATTCTGCTCGATAGCATTCTGAAACCAAATCTGTAAAAGTACTTAAACAAAATAACTTCCTGTGGAAAAATAAGTTACCATAGGTAATTAAATCTATTAGTTTGTTTAAACTTTAAAACATATTTGGGGAGAGAAAGTAATAAGATTTTAGTTATGTCACATAAAACAAGTTGGTTGCACATGAATGGTGTCCTATATATATATAAGTTCATTCATTGCATGCTGACCTGAACCTGTCTCAGCTGGCTGCTCCTTATTTGGAGTTTCTTCTAAATTTGTGATAGATTTATAAAATGTACAAGACCTTCTGGAAATGTCACTGTATATATAAAATATATTTGCTCGAGTTACATAGCTTTGTGACAGGTGCCTTATGTAATTCCCCAACTGATTCTTTGTTAAGTTTCACACATTGTAGTTTAAGTTCCAGTTTCTTGTTTAAGGATGTAAAAAAAAGTTTCTAAAATTCAACTAAACCATTACAATGCTTTATCTGAGATTGAACACCAATTGTTATCAAATTATTTTTATGCTCCTGTCCTATTTGTTAAGCTTCTGGCCTTTCTCTCACTGAGCTTAAGATGGTGTGTTTTACACCCAGTGATGGGATTCAATTTTTTTTACTACCGGTTCTGTGGGCGTGGCTTGGTGGGTGTGGCAGGGGAAGGATACTGTAAAATCTCCAGTCAGAGGTGATATTTGCCAGTTCTCCGAACTACTCAAAATTTCCACTACCGGTTCTCCAGAACTGGTCAGAACCTGCTGCATACCACCTCTGTTTACTCCCCATTACAAATAATCATTTAAGAATTAGCAGCATTAAGCCATACACTTCTTACATGTATATATGTGCGCACACTCATGCACACAGATGTACACATATAAATACAAGGGTTTTTTGAAGTAATTGCCAAAGTAGTTTAGGGGTTACGATGTTAGACTACTAATTGCGAGATTGAAATTCCAATGCTACCTTGGGCATAAATGCCCATTTGGTGGCATCTATGGTGGCATAACCTATATTGATCAGCATGACAAATTACAATCCATAATCTTCAGTGAAGATGCCTTCATGCTTCAGCAGATTGATTCAGAATAATAGTAGTAATAATACTAACAATAATAATATTCTTGAAAGCTGATTTAGAGGTGTAAATATCTGTGATAGTGTTATAATTAAAAAATAAAATTTTGGTTAATTTCGTGTTATTTCATAACTCTTATTTCTTTCACATTTAATTGAGTTTGACATCTAGTAGCTTCATTTAATAGAATCGTTGAATTCTAAGTCTGATATGGTATTACTGAGTGATCATTTCACTGCATCCCTGGAAGGTAGCAATAGCACTTAGACTTATATACCGCTTTACAGCACTTTACAGACCTCTCTAAGCAGTTTACAGAGTCAGCATATTGGCCCCAACAATTTCAGTCCTCATTTTACCAACCTCGGAAGGATGGAAAGTTGAGTCAACCTCAATTCTGGTGAGATTTGAACTGCCAAATTGCAGGCAGATGGCAGTCAGCAGAAGTAGCCTGCAGTACTGCATTCTAATCACTGCGCCACCATATCCATCCATATCAATGTTGCAGTCTAGTTTTGCCTGTAAGTAGAAAAATAGCTTCCTGGCACACCTTCTGGAGATTAAATTACTTTTTATCTTGGTGTAATTACTGTTCTTCATAAATCCTACACTAAACTGTAACCTCCAAAGACTCCCTACAGCTAAAAGATATTTTAATTATAATTTTTCAAACTTCAAAAGATCACTTTGGTTATCCAAAATAGACAAAGGGCAGATTTTATGTTTTGATACTAATAAGATCCTAAAAAACCCTCTGCAAAGTGTACAGAAAAATTGAGGAAATCAGGAAGACGTTTAGCCTCCAATAATTTTATATCACACAATATTCCAAGACTACTTGAAATGATTGGAAAGCTGTAAGAATGCAGTAAGTCTTCCACTGAGACATTAAGCTCTTACCCCCAAAGTGTGTATATTCCCCCAATATTAGTACCCTGCTACAAAGAGACATAACCCAGATGTATCTGCCCCAGAATGACAGGCATCCCTTTCCAAATAGATTCCATTTGACCTGGTTCCTTCCAGCTTGCCACACGCGTTATTTACTGTATATGTGATATGAATAACATGAGCATGGCCTTCCTATGCATCCTAAGAAGCCTTCATGTAATTGAAGGATAAAGTAGAAACCGAAACAATTTCCTCAATATCCTGGCCTTTGCTTTGGAGCCCATTAGCATGACGGACTTTGCTTTCTCCTTTCATCATGACTGAGCAGAAGCGAGGCACATTTGCATACCACTACATGTGTCTCTGATGTTAGGTATCCTGTTCAATCCAAATGCAAATTAGACATAAATGAATGTGCTGGGCTTTTACTTGCACTTCCTTATCAATTACCTAATGAGTTTTATATTCTTGGAGAGAGAAGCAGTGTTTTTTTTTTGAGTATCCTATTAATTTGCTCAGGGTAGCTCATGGTTAAGTTCTTTCATTATTTGGCACTGTTCGTTCTACAGATCTCAACGCTAACTGAAACCTTTTTAGATCATGGAGGAAAACACAGCAAGGCCAGTTCCATAATGCTGCTCTTATACTACTAAGCTGAATTACCTTGAAAGGTGCACATGTTTAACCTAAACGTATCCCAAGTCACATGTCATTTTAAAATGTCATTTTAAAATGTATAGAGGCCAAGAAAACTAGCATTCAGAGCAGCAAATTCCATAGCAATCTGGATAAACTGGCAGAAAAGAGGTTGCATTGTTATGGAGTATATGAAGAGGCAAGCTGCAGTAACAATCAATAGCTAGCAAAGTTGCAAAAGTTGTTTTTTAGAAATAAAATATTCCAGATGGAGATATTTAGAGGCATACCATCAAGCATAACAAAATGTTTTTCTTCTGCATTTTAGACTTACGATCTTATGAAAGTGACTCATGGGACAGAGCACAGCCTCACGCAGGACCTGATGATACTTAAAGAAGAGTGGGAGGCTGGCATGCTATTAAAATGAAGATGATGTGCAAGACACAATCTCGCAGAAGGACAACAAAAAGGAGACTCCGAAGAAAACAAGTATCTTCTTCAACCAAACATATGGCAGTAAAATCGTCATATGTATTGAGAGTAGATGATTTCCTTTGATCTGAATACTGCAAGAAAAGTAGTCTGGTTGTTTTGTTATGTAATCTGCACATTATTACTTTTGCTAATTCTCCAAATGAAATTTTTCAACAATCAACTGCTTCCTACTGAGAAGTGGTTTGAAAAGGCACCAGGAAAACCACTAAGCTACAATTTGATTATAATTGAAAGTATAGAAAATGCTCATTTGTATAAGTGCATTATTAGATGGGTACTCATGCGTCCAAATACATTGCAGGTATTTGAATTTAGTTTCATCAGTGTTCTTTTATCCTATACTAAATTGCTCCCTCTTCTTTGAAGTGTTGTCATTTCCAGGTATGTGATTTGTTTTGTTTATTTTAGATTTCTTTTTACCCCACTTTTATTGAATTTTTTATAAATAACTCAAGATGATGAACATACCTAATACTTCCTTCTCCTGTTTTCCCACAACAACAACCCTGTTAGGAGGTTGAGAGAGAATGACCCAGACCAAAGTCACCCAGCTGGCATTCATGCCTAAGGCAGGACTAGAAATCAGTTTCCTTGCATTCCATAATCCTTGTATATTTGCTGCGTAGCACACTTATTGTTAGATTATTAATTGTGGAAACTGCAGGTACAATTGAGATGCAAATTTCTAGCAGTGTCATTTGTTAGCTGTTCTGAGTGATTCTGCCCTGAGTGATGGATCAGCATCAGAGAAGGAGGAGAGAGGGAGGGAGACATATCGGCAGAATCAATTTATTCCCAAATACTTCGCATTCTTCCCATCTAGTAATACTGCAGTAATGTTATGCCCCCAGATACAAAAGTTCTCAGAATGTCAATCAGCCAACAATTGCAGCTCTCTGTATGTTTCCTACTGAAGACATTCCATTAAAAGGGGAAGCTCTTATTTCTGAATAAATATACCTATAATTGTTAGTGAATTTGTCTTTCCAACACTAAGTTCTCAGTCTTGCATTCTTGTCCAATTTTGTCCATCTTGTCCAACAAGATGCATTTATATGCATTTATTTGAGGAAAAATAGGCTAGTTCTTACCAGATAGGAGAAAATACCTACATGATTCCTTTTCTGAGCAATGTTCTTTCTAGATTTGACTTGAAGCAAATCTCCAGGAGAGCAGATATTCTCACAACAGAGTTTCTAGTATTGAACAATCCTGTGACTGAACTTGACATTGTACATGATTAGAAACTGAATCTTAGATTCAGAAGAATGTGAAATACATCCTGGAAACTGCAGTGTAAAATGCATGTTCTGAAGGCAGATCATTGCTTGCTTTAAACAAGAACATTGCTATGTACTTTATTCCCCTCCCCCCTTCCTTCCTCCATCCATTTTCTCACTTAAAATGTACACTTCAAACCTGCCAGACAAAATCTGCTCACTTAAGCTTCAGTCCTCTGAAAAGAAAGCTGTAGCTCATTAGTCAAAGACATGCTTTACATGTGGGAGGTCCTGGGTTCAATTTCCTGGCATTTTCAGGAGCACCATGAAAACTTCTTGCCAGAAACTCTGTAGGGATTTGTTAGCATTGATGTTGCCTAGCAAGATGGCTCAAGATTTTCACTCAAGTATCAGGCTGTTTGAAATCAACTCTTGGAAGGATTCCAACTTTTTGACAAGAGTTAAATTTTGGGGGCCTTAATTTGTCATTCTTAAATGTCATGTCCATTCAATCAGTAATTTGAAAGCATTTATGACAATACGATGAAAATACATTTCAGGGGAAATGAGCACTCTGGACATAATTTAGAGTGGCAACTCACAAATGCCAATACAGGAGTGTCATCTCTTCTGAACTTTTGAGTGAGATACAGCAAAGGAAGTTTCATGCACATCCCTGGCCCAAGATATGCACACCTCTTCTGGCCGTGGAGCAGAGTGCGATAGAAGATTGGGTTATGTCAGCCACCCCGTCATAAGCATATTTCTTTTTAGCATAATAAACATAATTAGGAGAAAAACCCAGATTGGGTTGTGTATGACCGCACTTGACATGCCAATAATTGCATGTACATTTAGTCTTCGACTTACAACCATTCGTTTAGCGACCAAACTCACAATGGCACAAAAGAAAGTGACCTACAACCAGTCCATCATAGTGTTTGCACAATCAAATGATCAAAATTTGGGCATTTGCAACCAGCGTGTATTTACAATAATTGCAATATCTTTGCGATCATTGTTTGTGACCTTCCCAGCTGGCTTCCAACAAGCAAGTCATTAAGATTTGCTTAATGACTGCATGATTTACTTAACAACTGTAGTGAAAAATCATAAAATCATGCACAACTCACTTAACAACAACCTTAATGGAAATTGTGGTCATAATTGCGTCATAAGTTGAAGATTATTCTATGCAGTTGATGTACATCCTTTGGAGAGGTTCGGAGAGAAGATCAAGGGAGGTACTAATACCACTCTATAAAGCCTTAGTAAGACCACACCTAGAGAGTACTGCATCCAGTTTTGTTCACCACATTATAAAAAAGATGTTGAGACTCCAGAAAAAGTACAGAGGAGCAACCAGGATGATTAGGGGACTGGAGACTAAAACATATGAAGGATGGTTACAGGAACAGGGCTTGGCTAGTCTAGTAAAGAGAAGGACCAGGGGAGACATGATAGCGGTCTTCCAATATTTGAGGGGCTGCCACAGGGAGGAAGGGGTCAAGCTATTTTCTAAAGCTCCTGTAGGCCAGACAAGGAATAATGGATGGAAACTGAACAAGGAGAGATTTAACCTGGAAATAAGGAGAAACTTTCTGACAGTGAGAACAATCAACCAATGGAACAGCTTGCCCTTGGAAGTTGTGGGAGCGCCATCACTTGAGACCTTCAAGAAGAGATTGGACTGCCATTTGTCAGAAATGGTGTAGGGTCTCCCGCTTGGGTGGGGGGTTGGACTAGATGACCTACAAGATCCCTTCCAACTCTGATTATCTGTTAAAAGAGAAGAACATTTTGTGGAGATAACCTTCCTACCTTTACATACATACGGTGCAGTCTTCTTAAATTCCTTAACTATGTAGACCACTCCAGGAAATCGACTCCAGAGAAAGGCTAAAATTAGTTTTATTGAAATTGGTTATATAACAACACAATCTTGCAGACCTGATTGTGCTATGCCTCCTCCTTATATTACAGTGAATTAGGAAGGCATCTGCCTGAGCTGTTTCCAAGTGTTAACTCATTCTGGACTTAAAAATTGCTTCAGCCTCTTTGCCCTGGTAATATGTGATTCCCACATATCTCCATGAAACTGATCTTACTTTCCACACTTCTAGAAATCGGCATGGGGAGAAGGAGACAGATCTGTTGGGATGTTGCCTTGCATTTGTGAAATGCTGGGCTTCCTCATGGAGTTCAGAACTTTCCTTAAAGATAACTGCTAATCCACAAAACAAAAATCAGAAGGAATCTAGTAGCATCTTTTCAGATTAATCAATTTGATTAAAAGGCATAATCCTTTGTGAACTGCAGCTGATCAGATACACAGATAAATATGGTGATATAGGATTTTAACAGAGGTGGGCGATTTTTAGTCTGAAAAAGTTGTCATGCTGCTCATTTTAATATGCCTCTCCTCGTACAATGTCTGAAATGGACTACATTAAATTAGACATCATCCCCTCCCATTGGTTTTGATTGAATAACATGGACTGAACTGCAGGTCTGGCTTTCATAGGCTGTCAGCTTGTTTCTTGTATGGAGGTCATGCAAGCTTCACACCTTTTGTATTACTTTCCATTGATTATGTTTTTTGTGCTTTTCTCAGCAGCAGCAGTAAATGGAAAGGGCATTTATTTTTATTTGAGAGTTATTTGTTGGACAGATTAATTTATGGACAGTAAGTGCTGTAGAGCTGCAGAATAGATGTGCCGTGTGCTTTTCCCCCATTAGGAGTGCGGGGTAAACAAAAAAGGGGGGAGGGGTTCATAATTCTGTGAGAGTTAAACAAATGAGAGTGAATCAATTGAAGGAGAGGCAAAGGACTTATTCCAGTTTTAAGATCCAGATAGATGCAAAATACTGAAAGATTTTTAAAGACTATGTAAGTTGCAGTTAGTCTATTTAGAAAAAATTAAAAAGAATGAAGAATTGGCTCACAATTCTTTACATGAATTTCATATGTGGAAAAAAGCTATTTATACCCAAAATACTCTCCTAGTTAATATGTACCCTCAGGCCAGCCACAATTAATTTATTTGATGTTCCAATAGCTACAGTATTTAGGGAGAAGGGCATACTTAGTTTTTCAAATGACACCATTGAGATTTGGTTGATTTTTACCTATATCTCTCATCTGTCTGTCTGTCTGTCTGTCTGTCTGTCTGTCTGTCTGTCTACTTACCTACCTATCATCTGTCTATCATTTATATCCATCATCTATATGTCTAGCTATCAGATATCTATCTTTCTACACACAGACAGACAGACAGACACACACATACACACATTACTTGGTAGTAGCCATGCATACATGCTGGTTGTGCCCAGAAGAGTCTGAAGAGCAAAAGAGAACAGACTGCATTTCTGCCTCCAACTTGGTTTGGCACTGATTGAGGCAACATCCTATAATGACTGAAAATTATGTTTGTTTCACCTTATGATGCATCACCCTCCAAGGGAACACATGCATTAAAATTGCATTATTTGATTTGGGGAGAATGGATTTAAGGTTATTTGATAACAGTCTGATGCCAGACCTTTTTGCTTGTTTGTTTTACAGGATTTTGGTCCTGTATTGTTAGATTGCAGGCAATGCATAGTAAGCAAAAATAGAGAAAAAAAATCACACACAACTATATAAAGCAATGTTTAATGGAAACAATAATAACATAACTATAATTTGAATATAAGACCAGAAGGTTGTCAAATTATGTCTTGTTCACAGACTTCACTGAATCATATGTCAATTCCAGGAACAGGTGCCTAGGTTTTTTGTGTGAGTGGTATACCTCATCATTTTAAACTGCTGTGCAGTAGGTAAAAGACTTGCCTGCACTTCACATAACTTTTTTTCCTGATCACACAGAAGTTTTATAGACACACCATTTTGTATTTCATCTGGTAGTTTCTTTCACATTCATGTCAGGTTAATATCAGTGAAAATCAAGGGAGTCAAAAGTCAGAAAAATTGATTTGTTGCAAGGTTGGAAAATGATAGCAAGGCTCTGATATGGCTTGTCAGCAATAACATCACCTAAAAAGATTTTCTGGCTTGGTGTCAGCATTTCTTAGCAGGCCAGACAGAAAATATAACCAGATAAGCTACTGCTATTTTACTGTAAGGCTCCTTTAGCAGAATTTTGCAAGTCTGATAGTACAAATCACCTATCTCTTTTACTGAGTGTAAGTTAGGAAGGGTGTCCTCTGAATCTTTCTCTGTAATGCAGCTTCAGGCTATGCCATTTCTTATCTGGCAGTATGTCTTCTTCTGTCTCCCAAGATCTTTCCCATTTACTATTGCACTTGGTCATATGATGGTTGTTTCTCTTCCTATCAACACTGATTGGAATGAATCTCAGTACAAGATTGCCTCCTGAAAGCCTGAAACTGGTACAGAAGTTTCAGTGGTAACAAAAGCTGCTGAATATCAAGAAAGGCAAGGATGAATGCATTATCTTTATCCAAGCCCGCCAGGGGTCATCTACAACCATTTCAGCCCCACACTGAAATCTAATTGGAAAAAGTCCAGATCATCTACTTCTTCCAAAGTTCTCTGTGGACACCATGTGATCTGTTACTCAACAAACTTCTCTAAAAAAAGATGGAAACAAGATGAAAATTGTCCAAAGAGATAGGACAAGATTATAGTTTCTGATGAATAAGTGGGCTAGCACTCTGAGTGTTATTAATACATTAGAAGACAACTAGCAGTGATGTGGATGAACTCTGTTACACTGGGATGGATGCATGTCTAGACAACCTAAGGGAGTAAGACTGG